AAAGCTACATTACAGGACATAGGTTTTCATATGAGTATAATTATTATTACTATTTTTCTGGTATACAAAATGTATTCCTATTGTTTGACCATGCAGGTTTTCCAGCATATTGTTTATAACTCTAAAAGCCTTTGGGAATGATTAACAACTGAAAACGGCGTGAGACAGAGAGTGACATAACGGGGATCACAGGCCAACCGGCTGTGGGCCCACAATCCTTCTAATTCTTCCTGTATGACTTTCCCCTTCTCTCATGGGGTTCGTGCTTTGTGGGAAGCCAGCCATGGCCCACTGGCTTTTTGAAAGATAACTTCTTTCTTTATAATCAAGGCATTGACACAATGTGTGGTCAGGATGTTCCTAATTAGCATTTGTTAACATTTGTTCGTTTTTAAGGACTGCACGTGTTATACTTGTTTTTGACCCTGCACAGGAGAAACTCGGACAGCCAAAGATCTGTAGGAGTCAGGTGCATCCGGTTAAAGATCTGACGTTATCTGTAGGAGTCAGGTGTTGTAACTCCATTTTGTTAAGTTCCTCCACCTATTGTGGGAATCATGATTATTAGTTGCAAGTGTTGTTAATTTGTTTTTCTTGAGCCTGCTTTCTCTTTCCCGTGTGAACCTTCGTTCCCGTGGAGTGGTGTTGAGGTTACTATGGTAATCCTAGCCCATAATAGTCTGGTCTTTTCCTTTAAAAGGCTGATGCCTGCCTGCAATAAACGTCGCCTTGATCAGACTCTTGTCTTGGCGTCCTTCCTTTCTCTCTGCCCCATCTCCACCCCGCTGCTCTTTCAGGTTTGAGCCACTGCTGGACAGTGCTCTGCGTTGCCGGCTCGCGGCAGTGCTTCAAGTCCAGGACCACTCTGTGTCTTCCAAAAAATAGTTCCGATTCAGAGCCCATGCTTGGAGTTGCTCACCTGCTGCTGATGTCTAGGCTCGCCAAACAGATGGGATTAATCCTATGGCGATAGAGTCTTCCCACCACCTGGCCAGACGATGGCATAGAGGGAGGTACGGGAGCCTGTGTCAGGAAGGCGGTGCTTGCATCCCAGCTCCAGCACTTCTGATTAGGGCATGTGCCCTGCCAACTGTACGGCTCTCTGCGTGACTCAGTTTAATCACCTGAGAAGTTGATTACCTCAGAGTTAGCATGAGAATTTTTAAATGTGTTTTAAAAGCTGTAACATGGTAGAAACTCAATACATGAAAGCTAGCATTATAGCTTCTGGATGATAAAATTTCCATTCATCATTGACATTTTATGTCAGGAAAAAAATCTCACAGTCATCCCAGTTCATCTTTCCAGGGCATCTGGGAGATGCCTGGGCTGGTCTAGGGGAAGGGCTAGGGGAAGGGCCAGGGAGGAAGCAAGAAGCCTGACACTAACTCACAATCTTTCCATCTTACTAAAACCAAATGCACGCTAAAGGGTTTAAGAAATTGCCAACACCCTTGGACACAGCCACATGGAACCGAATACTAAATTCAAAGGCCAGTGGACCTGTGAAAAATGAAAAGCTCACGCGGTGCAATGTCCCAGGGTCAGGGTCAGGTCCAGGGCGTGGCCTGGGAGGGCTGAAACGGGAGATCACAGACCAGGGGAGGCACACCTGCCTTGCAGCTCTGTCGCCTGCCAGCCACACGTTCCCGGGCCTTGCTGAACGCATTCCACCACCCTGCCTCTCCTTGAACTGCCATGTTGCACATGGAAAGAGCTGCAGAGCTGTTCGCAGCTCCCCCTCTGAGGCCTCACTTCTGTACGCAGCCACCAAGTCTGGAATAGAGGCGGGCTTTCATGAAACTATTCGGACTTTCCGCTTAACTCTTAAGAGACACGAATTTGCTGCTGAATTTTTCATCCTGCAATAGGACGGAGAAGAAGACTAACCTGACTCCTCCCTTCCATCCTTGACTTCAACCTGGTGAGCAATGAGGCATTGCTTTATCAATCCGCCCTGGTGAATGTTCACACTGTGATATTAAATTAGAAAAATAAGACATCTAATCTCCCTCACCTATAAAAGTTATATGATCTTTGTGTTCATGTTCAATTTGCATCAGTTCATTGAGTCACAAGTGTGCCAATTCCAATATGATCATAATGTGTCATTATCCCAGAGAGCTTCGGTCCAGAGGAATAAGGAGTTCTAAGAGGATTCCCAGCTTGCTAGTTTACTACCTGAGGTGAGAAGCCTGATTGTGTAATTTAGGTGCAGCTGTCCTACATTTGTATAAATATCCATGTTTATATTTAGATATAGGCAAACAAGAAGTCCCTTGTGTTTAATACCTACTATGACAAGTGGAATCTTCATTGGTCATAAAATTATCTATTTCATAAATGGAGTTCTTCAAAGACAAGTTATTCCACCTAATCAGAGATGGGCTCAGCTGCCTAAGGCGTGGCGACCTCTGCAGGGTAAGCTCCTGGGGGCTGGCAGGAGGGACCTCAGGGAGGAAGGAGGTGGAGGCTCCAGACAGTGGCCTGCTCTCTGGCTCATTGTCCTCTCTCTTGTGGCCACTGCTGTTCCTCTGGCCTCAGCCTCCTGACCTTAGCTTCTATTTCTCTGTTCCTGTCTTAGTCCCACTGCTGAAACACAAAATCTCATACCTGTAACTTAAAGGAGAGGTTTATTTTGGTTCACATTTCAGTCCACAGTCAGCTGGCTTCAAAGAAGAAATAGCACGGCAGAGGGATGTGGCAGAGGGGTATAAAAGGAGAGATTGCTCACCTCATGGGGCCTGGGCCAAAGAGGAAGTGAGATAAACTCTTCCGGGTCAAGCTTCCAGTTACCCACCTCTTCCTGTCACATCCTACTTCCTAACAGTGAATCGGCGAGAGCACCCCCATGACCCAGTCACCTTTCAAAAGCCCCACCGATGGGCACAGGAGGCTTTATGAGGACATCTAGTTATAAACCACAGCAATCCCCAATCTTTCTGTTTCCTAGTCAGAATTCTTTTTTTGTCAGCCATTTCCCTGGCCAGCCTACAGTGTGTCTTGGGCTCAGGTGCCCAATTCTGGCCTGATCAGCTGGGGAAGGGATGGGGTACACTGCATCCTCGTGAGGTCCCTCCCTTGACAAGGGGTGGGGAAGAAAAGGGTCACCTAAAGGAGCACAAGGACCCACTCGTGATAGGCTTGTCAGAAGCGTCAGGAACAGTCCCCTGGCTCAAATCAGTACCGAGTCAGCAAAACTGAGTCCATCGCAGCCAAATCCTGTGGGGTATCACGGACTCCTTTCACGAGTGTGGGTGGAGTTCTAATACAATTTATCTTCAGGCATCATCCTCCCGGTATTTTGACAACATTTTTTTTTTTTTGCAAAACCAGAGTAAACACCGCCAAGCACTCCTGTTTATGAGGTGCAGGGGCTGGCTTCTCCGGGTTGCATGGGGTATCTGTGCAGCCGAAGGCTGCTGCCTGCTCCAGAAACCGGCCCTGGAGGCCACTGGGAGGAGCCAGGCATCCCTGCTGCGCAGGAAACTCTTCCATCTGCAGTTCCTCTTAGAACTCCAGCGTGCGCAGACAGATCCCTTCTGCAACACCTCCACCAAGCGGCCGTCTGCTCCTCTCCAGGCAGAAGGAACTGGCCGCTCCGAAGGCCACATTCTACCTCGTAATGGCTTCCTGAAGACTTCACCACTTCACATAGAATTTTAAATGCTGCCCTTTTCATATCCACCCAATGACCCTGGTTTTTTCTCCAAATCCAGGCAGAACAGTCTGATTGCAGGGAAGCAAATCAGTATGACAAAAACCTCACATTCCCGTGTCAGGCTGTGACCCCGAGTAAGCTGGCAAGGATTTCCCCTGGATTGTTTTTTTTTTTAATGGAGACAGTATCACCTCCCCAGGAGGACGAGAGGAAACAGCACGCGGGACCCCTGGCACTTGATAATGTCCTTACTTTCCTCTTCGATGTGTGTTAAGTTTCAGATCTAAGAAGTCCCCCAAAGTCTCAGGGTGTGAAGGTGACCGGATCATGGGGCGCTGAGCTCATCAATGGATCCCTCTGCTGATGAGTTTGGAAGCTGTCTGCACCGTTAGGAGGCGGGGCCTGGCTGGAGGCTGTCCCTGGGCTGTGACCTGGAGAGGCATATTCCAGCCCCTGCTCCTCCTCTCTCTGCTTCCCAGCCGCCCTGGATTGAGCAGCTGTTCTCCACCAGGCCCTTCCACCGTGCTGTTTCTGCCTTGGAGCCACTGACCATGGACTGAACCCAGTGGGAACCGTGAGCCTAATAAACCGCTCTTCCTTTAAGTTCTTGGTAGGAGGTAGTGCGTCTCAGCAACAAGAGGGCTGACTGATACACGACAACCCTTCCAATATTTAAAAACCCTGTCAGGGTGCCTTTAAACATGCCCCACCCAGAGGAGACAGTTACAACCTCTGTAACTGCCTCCCACAAAGTTTCCAGACATTCAGAATTCATTTCTGTTTATCCACATGGCTTCTTCTGTTCCCTGTTCTGTTTTTTGTTTTTGTTTTCTTTTCTTTTGTACAAGGGATCGAACTCAGGACCTTACGCTTAGAAGGCAGGCAGCGGCACCACGGAGCTAAATCCCTGGCCGTTTTGTTTTTTTAAAGCCATTGTTAGTGTGGGAACAGACCATGTGCGGCAAGAGAAGGAGTCCCCTCCCCAGGAGACCTCCCGTGTGAGGACACAGCCATTCGCAGCCCACCAGAGAACCCTGTGCAGTGTGAATCCTGCCACTTCCTCTCCTCGTGAGCACTGAGGAAATGTGGAGCAGGGCTGGAAGGAGACCAGGCAGAGCTGGTGTGGCACCTCTGAGTTAGCAGCTCCTACACGAGGCAGCCCTACCGCTCAGAAGGGCAGTCAAAGGTGATGTCTTCTCTTTCGTTCCCTAATTTCTGTCCAGTGCTGAGAAATGATCACTGCCCCATAAAACGCTCTGCAGCAGGACGTGGCTGAGGCTGTGCTGACTCCACTTCTCCCGTGTCCCCAAGAACAGGATGCCCACCTGAGATGACGGGTGTCCCTAAGGAGCCATTTGTCCACCTGTCACAGCCCACTTGACTCGGTACAACACCCCAAGCAACAGTTCTGGGAGCTGCTCAGTGAGCCGGCCCCGGCCCTGGGGCTCCCATCCCTCACCTTCTCCAGACGCCCTGCCCAGCCCTGCTGGAAAGGGCCACCTCCTCCAGGCCTGGTGGGGACTGGCCATCCCATGCTGCCAGCTCCCAACTCTCCTACCTTCAAAGGACCACAAACATAAAATGACACCCAGGTAACAGCAACCCAAAAACCCCGTGGACACATCCCTTCACTTACAGGTGTCCCGGAGCGGGGGGCTTCCGGGTTGGCTCAGCAGCTCAGCACCATCATTAGGATCAGCACTGCATCTTCCTGTCTGCTGCACATCTCAGCTTTCATGTCTACACTTCCTCATGGCTACAGAAGGGCTGCTAAAGCTTCTGGTACAGAGCACATCCAAAGCCAGGAAGGGCACTTGCTCCTTACGCATCTGTCTCTCAGGCCCTTCCTGAGCTCCGCACAGACTTCCCCCACTTCTCAGCAGCAGCAGCAGCCGTTCATGTGCCCACTAGCCAGCCAACCACCCTGGCACCCGTGGCAAAGAGGGAGACAAGTGCTTGGGCCATCTTCCCTGAGGACATCAATGCCAGACACCTGAAAAGCAGGATTCTGCTAGCAAGCCAGGGAGAACGGCCATCAGGTAGGAAGCAAGCAGGTTTGCACACCTTGTTCATTCCCACTAGCGTGCCCTGCTCCGGGACGGGCTGCCTGCGTCAGAGGCCTGCGGCTCTGCCTGCCCTGCTGGGGGAGGACACGCTGTGGCCCAGATGACTCCGGACCTCTTAGTAAAGTGCTGGCACACGAGGTCAGGTATGGCTACGAGGGTGACAAGATATATCACAGCCAAGGAGTGTGTTTCCTGTTTGCTGAGATCTCAGCAGACTCCTGTCTGTGCTCCGCCGTGACCAAGAGACCTTTCCCACGGTGTATCAGCCAGGGCTAAAGCAGCCAACGCTAAGCTGAGAACACCTGTCACATCCAGGCTACCAGACTCCTGGACCTCAGAACATCTTTCTCCACAGCCAAGTGTTTCACGGCCTCGGCACCAGGGAAGGTCCTTTGGCAGAGGGAGGGCATGCAGCCAGGTGATTTCAATGTCAAGGATCTTGCACTGCTTCTTATTGTTTGACTACAACTTGCCATAGTGTACACCGTCTCCCAGAGATGGTGAAGAAACGCGGTGTATCTGGAAGACAGCCTCCTTTCTAAATCTTGAGAACTGGTTTCATGTGCACTGGGTACCACGAAACATTTGAGGGAGTCTGAAAGCCCAAACTGCCAAGGGTCTGAGGCTCAGCTGGCACACCTGGGGTCACATCCTGGGCACTGTGCTTCAGAGAAAAATGCATTTGGAGGGGAGCACTCTTAAATCATTGGCTCAAATGTCAATGGAAACCTTAGGATCTGTCCATCCAGGTTCCTGCATGGCAAAAATAGACCCTAAACTAGCTCCTCTCCTTGCTTCCTTCCTCTGAGCACTTTACTACTGAGCTATATCACCAGTCCCCTATTGATCCTTCTTTAAATTTTATCAAGTTTAACTTCATACTTGGTAAATAACTGGCCTCTGATTTCAATCTGTATGGATATTTATGATTCCAACTTTGGCACCAGACACAGTAGCTCTCACTCCCCACCTTGTATCATAAGCAAATTTGACTGGTGTCCTTAACCATATAATTGATAAAGAGGAGGAGGAGGAGAAAAGGAAGAGGAAGAGTAGGAGAGAGAAGCAGCAGCAGCAGCTGTGAGAGGGAAAATCCTTACTGCAGTTTACTTTATCAGCCACAATTTTACAAAGCAATTCCAGATCCTACAGACTCTGTGAATCACAACATCTCTACAATTTTACTCTGAAGTTGTAGAACCAAGCAACATCTAATTCTCTGGGAGCTAAAGGAGAGACTCAAAAGAAAGTTATTATTGAATGCACAAAACTGAGGGCTCTGCAAATCCACCAGAGAAACTTCTGGAAAACCTGAATATCTCCGATGTTCCACAAACCCTGCCTCTGTCAGCCACATCCATATTCCAGAAGCAACTATGGGTCCTTTTCCAAGTGCACCCAGAAAAACTACAGGCCTGGTTAGAGTGCAAGGTGGCAAGGAGAGATAGACACTAAGAGCTGAAGAGAATTCACTCTCCAGAGGGTATTGGGGTTTGGAGAAAAGGGGTGGACGGTAGGAGCCAACCACATGACAAACATCCAAAACAACCCATCCCTCAGCCAAGACATGTGCAGTTGCTCTCCGTGTAACTGCAACTTCTTTCGGAGAGTTCACACATAGAAACTTGCTTATTTATTTGTCTCCCCTTCTAGAACAGGAACTCCATGAGGCCACGGTGCAGGGAGCCCCTTCACTGTGGGAGGGCAGAGCGGACTGCAGAGGGGACACGCGGCACACCGAGGGGTGGCGAGTGACTGACGGGCCCCAGGCGGTGCTCCCTCGCACGGACTCCGCAAACCGTTTAGTTCAAGGTGCGAACATTCATTTGTACTCATTCCATGAAGACAAATTTAGGTGACGGGTTTATGAGAGAGTTTCATTCTTTTCTGAGATTGTCTGAGCCACCACTCAGTGTTCATCTTTCAGGTATGTGAAGCTTGTCTCCTCATAGCTAGAGGCTCTCCTTGTCTTTTATCTGAATCAGTCAAGTCTCTTCTCATAAATGAGAAATGTTAAATGCTTGCTCATAAAATGAAGAGGCAACTAGAAGTAAACTGCAGCTCCCAACTTCCATGGACAAGCTTTCCTTAGTGTCTAAAATAATAAATACCATTACACACCAAAGACCATGTGCTGGGTGTCATTAATCCAGCTAGTGGGACGCTCAGGAAACCAAGGCTGGGGGAGAGAAGCCATCATCCAAGACTCCTGCTGATGACAGAGCAGGGATCTGTACCCACATGGGCTCAAGTCAGCGCTCACAGTTGTTTATTATATCTTTTTTTTGGCGGTAGTAAGAGTTGAACCCAGGACCTAGACAAGCACTTTACCACTGAGCTACACCCCTACCCCCCCAAGATGCCAGGCAGGCTTCAAACTTGGGATCCTCCTGCTTCAGCCTCCCAAGTGAGATTACAAGCCTGTGCTTCCACGCTCTGCTCATTTTACTCCTCAGTCATTACTAGTTTTCCATTGTATCATGAATCCTGTCTGAGTGCTGTATTTCATCAAGTCTCTTGTATTTAAAGCTACAAACGCCTTCATGTGTAAGATATGTCACAATTCCAGAAATGTTAAAATACACATCTATATGCACCATTTGCACACACACACATACACATGCGGATATACACGTTAGACTCAAGAACATGCAGCAACTGCTAGTCTTGGAGCAAATGATGCCTAATAAATGCCATAAATCTAAATGCCTTGCCAAGTTCTCCAGAAAATTAATTTTTCCATAAAGTACAGAAAAGAGATAAATCTTAAAAAAGAATAAAACTGTAGGAAAATGCAAACATTTGCTAATCCACACACTCTAAAATCCGTGTCTTCTCATCCATGGCGTTAGGCCATATTGTTTACGATGTAAAAAGTTGCTGAGTATCTTCAAAGCCCCTGAATCTGACCGTGACTTCCTCATATTTTCACATGTCCTCGTGCACGATGAGGCAGTATGCACTTTTTTTAGAATATTCCATTAAAAGTGGATTTTAAACCTGCCTGGTTTTCTTAACTTCTGTTTGGAAAGAAACAGTAATTTTTTTCAGTCCCACAGGACAACAAGCCGTTGCTAACATGACTAAGTCTCTAATGGAAGACGACCACCAGCATTTCAGAGGTGCAGGCTCCACAGTCTCCACTGGAATGGTCCACTGAAGATGCTGGCCTTTTAGGGCCTCTTCTCCCTTCCCCTAAAAGTGCCCACGTCATAAGCCCACACAGTGTCCACTCCATCTCCAGCGATGTGATCTGGGGTCCAGTGCGGGAAAGGGAACCGGCAGGCAATGACTCTCGCATCCTCCTCAAGTTCAAGTTCAAGTTTCTTCTCCAGCTGTGGCATCTGTGGGGAGTGACAGCCATTACTTCTGCGAAGGGTGAAGGAAGAGAAGTGATCTCAAAATGCTCTCTGTATTTCAGAGTCCCTGAAAATATTTATAAGATCACTTCTGGGCACAAATACATTACCAAACAATCCATGATCATACAGAGACACATTAGCCACAATTATAGGAACATCTTCTGGTACCAATTATAAAAGACGCCATTTTTGGGCTGGGCATGGTAGCACACACCTGTAATCCCAGCACTCGGGAGGCTGAGGCAGGAGGATCACTGTGAGTTCCAGACCAGCCTGGGATACATAGTGAGTTCCAGGTCAGTCTCAACTACATAGTGAGACCCTGTCTCAAAAAACCAAAACCAAAAGCAAAACCAAAAAAAAGCCATTTTCAGCAGACATCTAGTACAGATTTCCAGTTTTCTAACTAAAATCATATGGCAGTAATTGAAATAAGAAAACAGTGTCAAATTACCTCTGTATTTCACCATACCCTGTCTCACATATTCAAAACACATTTCTAGTATCTCTAAAATGAGAGCACAACATACAATGGACACCACCTTAGAATTACTGCTGGCAGTAGTTCCTCCTCAACAGCAACACTACATCTTAATATCTAGAGCCCAGATTCTAATTCATCGTTACCACCAATACCAGGATAACAAAGGATAAATAAATTCCATGAAGGATAGGAAGTTTGTATTCTTCTAACAGCCAGTAAAAGATTCTTTTTTAAAAAAATGCTTTAGTCCTTGAGGGAAAAATTAAATAAGCAAAGAATGAGACAATACGTGTTCTTCCAAAAAATCAGAGGTTTCTTATGGTAATTTTGTTCATAAAAAGGGTAACTGTAAACTTACTCACATTACCATTATTCTTTTCCCTTTTATAGTTTCATTTATTTCCAAATGATTGTCATATGCTAAGTCAAGATAAACCTAAAAATGAAAGGAGCTATTTCAATCATAAGAAATTAACTGACTAAATTACACATAAATATGCAATGAATCTGGTTCTTGATCTCATACACAAAGAGCAGCAGTGGTGTGTCATGCCTGCCTAATGGAATTCAAAATTATTCATACAATTATAGGTTTCAAAGTGACACAAACTCATCTTATTCTAATTATAGCTTCAAAACTTCAAACACAAGTTGGAACCGGCTCAAAGGCATGAGGCAAATCCACCAATCCGGGTGCAGATAGAATCCGGAGATCACACACACTGTTCGCTCTAGACAAACGCCCGACCGTGAGCCACACTCCCGGTCCCACACCTCCCGGCTCAGCTCAGTCTGTCTCCCCCTCCCCACTCCCCTCCCCCTTCCC